GGGGGGGGGGGGGTGATGGAGGGAGGAAACTCGGCAGAAAATTATATAGTGGAATAAATGACAGAACATAACGTACTATAATACAAAGAACTATTCAGATGAAATTATATTGTAATTAAATTAATAATTACAAACACACTACGTGACATTTTTGGTAATATATAAACGTTTAGTGGAGATGTCATGATATAAATTCAAATTTAAAATAGCTGCAAATCATGTGGAACTTATTATTACTATACTACTTGCTTGCCAGCTTGAGTTAAAAGTCATCACAGACATTAATTACATCCTTTCCTAACTTTAGGAAGAAAAAGCAGTGGCGGAGCCAGAATTTATATTAAGGGGTGTTAAAATATATAAAAATAAATATATCAAGAGGAGTCAACACATAATATATATACATATAAATATTTTTTACCTACCTATACAATGTATTTTTCCCGCAAAGGAGTATCATTTGACACCCCTTCCTATAAGGTGGTTTCGCCACTGAGAAAAAGAAAAACTTTTTTGTGAGGAACCTAATTAAATTTAGATTGAAGTAAGTAGTTTTTATTGGGATAATATTAAAACTTTAGATGAAGATTATCATATCAAATTAATAAGAAAAAAAAACTACGGCGAAGGGCCAAATATACCCCTTTACTTTTGAAAATGGTCTAAAAATACCTATCGTTATACTATTGGGCTATATATACCCTTCCTGTCATACTTTGGTACAAATATACCCTTATTTTGGATGGAATGTCACGTGTCAGCACCAGATGAAAACGACCAATTTCTTTTTTTTACCCAATCCGTTTTAAAAAATCCATCACCCGACCCGTTTTAAAATTCAATTTTTTTAAAGCATATATTTTGTAAAAAATGGAATTTTTTTTTGTAAAAACTGAAAAAAAAAAAAGAAAAAAAAAAGAATTTGCATAATATATATTTTTAAGTTTTTTCAGTTTTTTAAGGTATTTTTTTTGTAAAAACTGAAAAAAAAAAAAAAATTTAAAAATGCTTTAAAAACTGAAAAATATATATTCTATAAAAACTGGAAAAAAAAAAGAAATTTACAAAATATATATTTTTCAGTTTTTTAAAGTATTTATTTTTTTGTAAAAACTAAATAGTGATTGTACTTGAATAGTGAATAGTGATTGTACTTGAATTTATGAGTGCCACAAATATTCTTCAGTCTTGCAGCTATCGGTCTACCAAACCAAGAGGCGAGCTGCGTGACAAAATTAACTTAGCAAGAGGATTATTTAATTTAGTAATGAAGCACTTAATGTCTAATGTAAAACCAAAACAATCTTGTCAACTACTAAGTTTTACGTAGGGGTAGAGTTAGAGTATTAGGTACGAGTTCAGACGCAATCGTAACGTTGGCTTAAATATTGTATTTGTATTAGAAAAATATATTAAATATATATAAATAATAAATTTTGAACCCAATAATTAAGACGAGCAACGAATTCAATGACAAATCAAAAATTCATAAATTTTAAATCCCGACTCGACGTTTTCGGGTCATTGGCTGAACCCATCTCTCCTACTCCGTGGTCCTGCAAACAAGCTAAGGTCCCATCTCCATTTCATACTCCCAAAAATCATTGATTTTGACTCTTATGGTTATGGAGTAGTCCATCATGTGGTAACGTCGAGAAAAATCTNATATATATATATATTATAATCCCTTGACTTTATATCCTTAATTATTGCGATACATCTTACATTTATACAACGGACAGAATTTACGTTAAGAAAACTGACTTTGGGTACGTATATTAATTCCAAATATTAGAAAACAATGCAAAGAAGATACACAAAGAGAAAATCTACGTACCTCATACAATCTTACAACGTTAGGATGTTTGAGGAGTTTTGAACTTCCAATCTCCCTCTTAATCTGCAATACAAACATGAAAACACATTATAAGCTTATTATTTCACAATATTTCAATTTTCAACTTTACAAGTCGTATTACTATATAGCGTCGAGTTCAATGGACAGAACGATCGATGTGAGGCCTAGATCAAGGCATGAAGTTAAAGTGTGACTTTTCCCATAGTTAGGAGTGGGGTTAAGCGTCCGATATAAAAGATGCAAATCAGTTTTCTCTAATTTCATCACTGAATCTTCCATTTTCGTTAGAAAAATCGTTAGTTTGAATTATATACAATCCAGTATAATGAAAACAAACCTGATTGATAAACTTGAGGTCCACGATTCGAGCCTTCTCCAAAATCTTAATGGCGAAAGATTGGCCAGAGTCAACATGCCTCGCGTACTTCACTTTGCCAAAATTGCCCTCACCAAGAGTCCTTCCAATTTCGTATTTTCCTACTCGCATTCCTTTCTTCTTTTCACCTTGCATTATTTCGTCCTCTTGTTGTACCAATACCATACCGAAATAAATTAATTCCAAGTTTAAATCCCCTATACAAATTGAAAAAAAGAGACAAATGAAAGATTGTTAAACTCTCAGTTCTTGACTTTTTGATGTAATATGTTGGGTACAAATGTAGAAGAGAAGATCATGAGCAGGTTTCGAGTTTCTTTGATTTCTCATCTATAATTTGGTGGCTATATATATAGGAAATAGACATGATTAAATAATAAAGTGGGGCCTATAACTTTCTTTATCTATAGTCTAGATCTCCCTATTTATCCAATATTTTAATCCTCGTTTTTTATTCACCTAATAAATAAATGAAACTTCATTGTTGCGCCGAGTAATTTAATTTTAATTAATAAGTTGGTCAAATGGGAACCGAGGATTGGTTTCACCTTCTCGGGAACCCCAACACACACGGAAACTAATAATTACACCAAAACAATAAATGTAATTTATGTGTTTTATTACTTTCTCATTTAACCATGATAAGTAATTATAGGGGTGACAAACGGACATGTGAGATTGGGTATGGGCGAGTTGAAAACGATTAATATAAAAACAAATAAAAAATCTGAACCGTCTATATTTAAAGATAGGAAATGAGCTAACCCGATGGATGATATGAATATTCATATTATCTATGACTTTTTGAATGTTAGGAGAATGTTTAGTCTCTCAGATATAAATAACCCTAATTTGAGTCGTTTCAAATATAAAAGTTAAACTCATTGATTGCTCATCAAGTATCTCCTATTTTTAAAAAGTTTATTATCCAACCCATTTTTAGTGGATAATATACATGAATAATTTTTTTAATCTTTTTTTCCATCACTAAATAATTATATATTAAATATTTTTTAATATTAAAGAAAATACCATTTTATTCTTAACTGTTACTCCCTTCATTTTTTACTAGTCCACTATTAAGTTTGCACTCCCCTTAAAAAATTATTTATTAAAAGTTTGTTTTATTAAATTAGCTTATTAATAGTAATTAAAATCTTATATTACGACAACAATGATTAGGAAGTATATGTACTTAATAATACGGATAACCTAAGAAGAAAATAATAAATTTCTCTTTATTTATATTGAACTAGTAAAAAAGAACGGAGGAAATGAAACAATATTACATCCCATTATTGGAATTTGGCCAATATATGAACGCAATAAGCAGAAAAAGCAATATGGACACATTTACGATGTCATCATTTTACAACTCTTCTTTTGATTTTTTTTCTCTTTTATTGGTCGGTTTTCTCAAATTTACGTGTGTAATGACTACTCACAAATTAATCTTTCATGTTTAAAATGTGTAACCAAAAAGTAAGAAAAGCACAAATATGAAAGGATTTTTTATGAAAATGAAGCCCAACATAAACAAAGGGTTTTGACTTACTTTTTGAAGAAATGTATGTCAGAAAATAATTTTGACAAAATATTTTTCAATTAGTTTTTGAGAAAATGCTTTATCACATAACGACATATATATTTGAGTTACGTTGTTTTTTTTAAAATTATCTTAATATGATCGTTGCAAATCTTGTTGAAAAAGTTGCTTGATGTACATATAGATTTTATTTTCGTAGTGTTAGAACTATTTTATCTATTTAAATATAATTTATAAGAATTTAACGTAACTAATTAGATAGTGATCATGCTAAACAAAAGAATAAATAATTATGTAATAACAACATAATTATATAAGATACTTTCTTGATCAAGCCATCAAGATAAAGCAACATGAAAAGATAAAATATCAAAACCTACTAGAAAGTTCATTATAGAAGAAATAACCTAAATAGTTGTCCTAAGTATTCTCTTCGCATGTAAAAATATACTGGGTATATTATTGTTGTTGTCGCCCACCTAACCTATTAACTTAAAACAATATGTGGATATATAATATACGTATACGCCGTGTATAATATGAATATATTCATGTATAGTTAGTATATAATTTTTTTTTTTATATA